ACAGCCAGAACTCTTCCGATCTCCTTATTTTCACGGACTTGGAAGGATCTAGTCCAGGTTTTCTAACACCGTCATTGTTTCTGCAGCCAACAGGTTTCCTTCTAGATCTGCTCCCTTTCGCTCCATCTTTCCGTTCCCCTTCTCTACAGCGGGTCTGTTTATTTATTCCTTGATTGGATGAGAGAATAAAATCCAGGTTTTCTGTTAATTGGGTTAAAAATGAATCCTTCCTTGTGACTGTTTACCAGCAGAGGACCGTTTTCCATCTGTGATGGAAGCATGTTGCTTCTGACCTCTGATCTCTGTTCACTGGATTGCTGATTGCCCGTCGGTAGTACGGGATGGAGTCACCAGCCACCATATTGGTACTCCCTAGTTAGACCGGTCAGAATGTAATCGGTGCGCTACAGCATCAAACAACCACAATGTTCTCATTTTCAGACTTTTAAAATAAAGATAAATTCATCAGTTTGACACAGACTGACTGTTTCATAGCATCAGTAGATTAACTTTAACTTAGAATAAAAAATTGATTTATTGCTTAGTTCATCCACTGACTGGGAAATGACCTGAGGAACGTCTTCCTGGTTTTAGCAGCTAAATGCTGAACAGGGAGGCATTTTACTGCCCACTGTGGGAGTGGGGAGTACCAACATGGCGGCCGATGCCTTGAATTTTTCAGGCTATTAGCAATCCAGTGAACAGAGATGATTGGCTGTGACCCGGTTCGACCTCCGGCAGCTTCTGACCGCAGCTGAGGCGTCTTTTCTGTGTCGCCATCAGCATCTTCTGCTGCCTCTGCGTTACAGGATGAGGGCGGTGCCGCCCCCTCCTCCACCTACGCCCAGTCAGGTCGCTGCCCCAAACTGGGCAGCATGATGGGAACCAGAGCTCCACCATAAGCTTCTACCCAGTTTGTAAGGAAAACTCTCCTTATATCATAACTTCATCTGTTGATGTTTTTCCTGATCCTCGTTTGTTCTCCAAAGCTTTTAGCAAAACTGTGATGCCTTCAGGGACTGCCTCATTTACACAGGAAGAAAACTACATCAACTATTCAGGCAGCATTGATGCAGAACCACTGATTTCTATTTAGGGGTACCGGGGTAAACGGGGCTAAATGGAAGAACTCCTATAAAGCTGCATCCATGTTGAGAAGCAAAAGGTGTTAAAGGTTAATCCTAGATAAAGCTCTGCTCCTCAGACGCCTGGATCTCACCTCCAACCAGGACCGGTCGACCTCCGGCCGGATGAACTTGGCCAGCTGGACCCTGACCTTCTTCTCCTTCCTCACCGGGTTCAGGATGGCGTTAAACACGGTGACGGCGCTCTTGTGCTTCAGCAGCGGAACGTTGACCACGCTCTCCAGAGTTCGGAAAGGTCCGTGTTTGGTCCTGTACTCCACGATGCTCAGTGACTTGCGGCCTCTCAGCAGCTTGACCCCGGCCAGCTCCGCCGAGGTGGCGTTGTTGAGGAGCTGCAGGATGGCGTCCCGCTGTTCCGAGGTGTAGCAGGCGTCCAGCGTACTCCCGCCGTCTTCCTCCTTACGGGCTTCAGACGGGGAGGTGAGCGAGGCGTTCAAGGTCTCGAAGCCGGCCACGGGAACCCTGCTCCTCCAGCAGCAGGTGCACTGAAGGTAACGCAGCTCCAGGTCGGCCGGACGGGAACCGTAGCGCAGCTGGAGGAGGAAGCCCAGCCGCCCGGCATGGCGACCTGCAAATCATTTACATTTCACACAAACATCCTCAATAAAAGAAGAACTTTAGATCATTTTCCATCTCTGCATCGCTTCTCTCTGATATTTACTCTCATTTACAGCCTATAGATTAAATATATATTAAAGTTTAGAAATATTCCAGACCTAATTCAATCACTAACCCTGCAGCTTTAAATCTGTTCCACAAATTAATTCATTTTACTGTGACTGTCTATAACTTTGGATTATAATCTATTTATTTTTATACATTTCCTCCTTAAAAGTTTTATCTTTTTCTCTATTTTTCTAACCTTTTTTTGATGTTCACTGGAAATATTAATTTCTGTGTTATTAATAGATTTCTCTGCCCTTTATTATAATGTGAATTTAATGTGTAGATTAACTGGTTTTAATCTCCACACAGCAGCTGAAATATAATCTGATCTTTGAGTTTAACAAACTGATTAATCCTGATTGATTTATTAAAATGTTCA